ATCATGCTTGCAAGGATTTAACACTCTAAAACTTAAATATTTGATTCAGATGCTTATATTATTATGAAAAGTACAAGGTCCGTACAACATTATGACTTTGACTACAATTGATGGTGCCTCAAATCTAGTCATCCGGAGATCTTAGTATATGGGTTTCACAAATGTAAAGGCCTTCATTTAAGACCAATGCAGCTTTATCATAAGCACATTGGTTGTGCTATCTGTTGTCAAGATTATCCAGTGATTCTTGGTCAACCATATATTATAGCTGTGAGGATGGAGACCAAAGTTTTGGATGATGGATCAGCATGTGCCCATATTAGAAGTCAAGATGGAAAAAAGGTAGTGCAATTTCTAACAGTACCTGTAAACCATGAGCGCAATTGGAATTATTTACGAAGTGATTTATTACCAAGGGTCAATGAAGAGTTTAAAGATTTTTGCACAGTATCACTATAGAGCAGGAATATAGTGGTACATGACAAAAAGTATTCTCGCATGGAGAGAATAATATCTTTCATACAGGTGTTACAAAATTATATAGGAATGAATATGTTGTACATACACAGCTTAATGACTTACAAAATTGAGAGCAAAGAGGTGTGTAAAAAAATTTGAAAAAAAAAAAAAAAAAACCTAAAAAAAACCTAAAAAAAGTGGATGTGCTTGAGAAAGATGCTTTAATAGCAAGTATATATATAGAGACATATTCGAAAGATTTTAGAAAAAATAAGCTGGAAATACAACGACAAAATTGATATGCGGCATTGATTAAGACAACAAGGAATTTGTGAAGGTATTAGAAAAGACATATTTTTCTTTACAAATGAAAAAGTGGAAGACATGGATCAAAAAAAAAAAAAAAAAAAAAAAAAAAACAATATTGGGAAGGTTATATGATGCCGACCACAACTTTGGTTCTTTTGGTGCATACCGGAGGATGCACAGGTTTAGAGGGGGTGGATATCATGTTGTGGTTCAGCTACTATATGAAAATAATGTAATTATATACTTAATATATAATTTATTAAGTAACATGGTGAGAGCCATGTTAGTAGATTTTAGTTGGTTGTAGAATATAATTTGATTATTATTTTGAGAAGAGGTTGTTTAAAAAGATTACTATATAATTTGTATAACTTTAATTTCCTTTTGATAGTGACTTTTAAGATTGGTTTTGGTTGATAGTAACTTCTAAATATTTAGAGTCACCTTTGTTAGACATTGGTGACATTTAAAAACTTATTTTGGTTCTTTTATTTGGTGTTTAGAGCATACATTATGTAAATCTTATAAGAAAAAAGATTGAAGAAGGATTTTGGTAGCAAAGGGAGTAATTAAGGCACCAATATAGATGAATGGAGATGAAAAATAAAAATCTCTATTCCTATTGGTCAAAAATCATGACCAATGGACTTTAAGGAGGTTGCCCGAGGCCATATTAGGGATTAGGGTTAGTTTCTCGAAGCCATTCAAACTTTGAAGGCTAGGGTCAGAAGGTTTAGGTTTTTGGTTAAGATTTTGGTGCAAGTTTTGTGTCATTTGGGATTTTTATGAAGAAGTTATAGGCGCTCAAAGTTAAGGTGTTAGTTTTGGACCTACTGTCATTCTTTTGGGCATAACGCACGGATTTTTATGAAGAAGTTATAGGCGCTCAAAGTTAAGGTGTTAGTTTTGGACCTACTGTCACTCTTTTGGGCATAACGCACGGGTACAGATGGCAATTGAGGATCGGCGACCGCGACTGGAGAGAGCACTTTTGCGACTATACTTTTCATATACTGCTTACTGGATTCTAAGTTGGAGTGAAGGAGTTATTTGATTTTGAAGTCAGCACATGCAATCTAAGGGTAGTAAGTAAACCGATTTACTAGTGTTTGTCTCTTGAGCTATATCTTGAGCAATTTGGCAAGGTTTTGGCTAAAAATTTCAAAGAATGTGTAATTTTATGTTAGTAAACTTTGTGCATAAGTTTTATGATATTTGGAGTTCGAGTTTTTGAGATATAAGGAAAATAGTTTTTCGGGTGATTATAAATTAGGGTTTGGAGTGTCTACTAGAGTTTCTTAGATGCCAAAAGATCGAGAGTGAATTTGCGGTTGGTTTTTTTTGTGGTAAAATTTAAGGGTAAATTCTAGCTATCTTGTAAATTTGAAACAAACTGAACGGTTAGATCAATAGTTATGATTTTCTAAAGTTTGGGGTGAGAAAATCCTTCGCGAGAAAAATATGTTTTGAAGGGATTTTATTATATTTGGAGTTTTATACAAAAATAAAGGAGTTTTGGAAGCCAAGAAAAGAATCATATAAAGGTTTAAGGTATACTCTCTATAGCTAGATACCCAGTGTATTCCCAGATAGCAAATCATGCCATACGACAACGTGACTCCTCCATCGGATAGAGTTCGGGTTGTAAAGCTGTTATCAATCTAATTTAATTAACAAAACCTCAAAACTTGGAATGGGTACCATCAAACTTGTCTGAAAGGCTAATTCGGGGCTCCTTTTGTTATAAGACCAACAATCCTTGTTGAACTAGAGATAAGGTTTCTTCTCTTAGTGCTAAAGCTTAAGGCTGGTGAATCCTCGATTGTGCCATCTCAGATGCTCCATTATTATGAAGTCTTGCAATGATTCTTTCAATCTCTACAATTCTCTATGATAACATAGCAAGAGCATTCATAATGGGGTCCAACTTGGACTCCAAACTTTTAGTCATACTAATATCTTGACCTCCGGCCATTCTAAAAGAAGAAAAGAAATGACTCTACAAGAAGGCAGTATTGGTTTAGAGGAGGGTACTTTGCAACTTCTAAAACACCTTAAAACCTTCAAGAAGAGGGATGATCCACTCTCTCCAAGAAAGATAAGACTCCAATATTATAATAGAAGAAATATCAATTTAAAGGAGGATAATCCGCAACCTCTAAAATGCCAATACCTTCAAGTAGAGGAATAATCTACACTCTAACAAGAAAGAACTAGCTCTAATATTAAAGATGAGTGCAATCTCGACAAATTGTCACGAATTTAGAATACTGATTGAAAATCTAAACAAGAAGTTCAAGAAGAATTGGCAAGAATTAGATTAATCAAATGAGTATAAGAACAACACTAGAGTGGTGAGCTAGAGCTCCAAGAGGTGTGTTGTTGAGACTAAGGATCCCCTCAGTCTCAACTCCTATATATACTACAAACTAGGAAGCTTCTCAAGCAGCTTCCACAAGCTAGGAAACTTCTCAAGCAGCTTCCACGAGCTTAAAAACTTCTCAAGTAGCTTCTACAAACTATAAAGCTTCTCAAGAATCTTCTAGCATCTTCTATAACTTTATAGTGTATGTCCTTGACAAAGAGTGACATGTCTCCAAGGCACCACATGACATCAACATTTTCACTAATACACCAGATCTTAAGAAACTTTATAAAAGTATAAATGTACTACTTGTTTTTCCAACAATTGAAAAAAATCACAATAATAGATTATAGATTTTAGGTAGCATTTTAGATCTTAAGTATAAAATGCAAGAAATCCAAGAAGCCTTCTGCTATAGAAAGACAATGCCAATAAGCTAGCATTAACAACAACTAGCAATATACACAACTAAATACCGACTCAATAATTTCAATGCACATAACAAGAATTTGAAAAATAAGATTAAAGATGTAAAAGAAGCATAAGCTACTATTTTGCAATAATTTGCTAAACACCCAAAATTCAAGGAGGTATATGCTAATGACACAAATTTTATAAATTGCCTAATTTATACAAAGACAATGAGGCACACAATTTTTGATATCAACGCCTACACATTACAAATAAAAAGCAAACTTTGTAAGATACATCAAGGCATAGTTATTGCTCTACAATATTTGTATTATCATAAAGAATTATTTCATGTGGTTTATATATCATCTTGTGAAACCACCCTTAAGACTTCATCAAGCCAATCCTCCAAATATAATCATCTTTAACTTAGGATGTGAAATATCTTAGGAGGTGAGATGTTACCCATCAAAAATGGCAAGGAGGTGAAAATGTTACCCATCAAAAAAGTACTTTTTGAAAACCATTAATAATATAAACTCAGAAAAATCCATCTGTGCTTGTTCTTTCTTACAAATATTTTATTACTTATATGCAAAGTCGTTCTTTCACATTTATATGTTTTGAAAGTTACATGTCAATAATCTTGTTCCTTGTTGCTTGGACATGTACCTAATTAAAAAAAAAAAAAAAAAAAAAACGTGGAGTTTTAAAATACTCAATGATTTTCACACTCTGAATATCAGATATCTGGAAATGTCGAAGGTACGGCACAATATTCAGTTATTCCAACATTTTTTTGAAATGACACTAGGTTTCAAAGAATTGTGTTAGAGAAATTATAACGAAAAAATAAAATAACAGAAAGCAATCAACCTTCAAAAACATACTTGAAAACAACTAAATTTTTTGTATCAACAATTGGCTCAGAGGTATGGCCTTTAACATCACTTTTGCATCAGTAAATTTATCAGTAACAACCAACATGCTAAAAACTTATTATACACAGTCAATCTGTCACTGATTAACAAATTACTCGACATCCACATTCATCCATATTCAGGGTTTAACACACATGCAAATTTTCACATTTGATAGATTCAAACAAACAAACAAGTAACTGAAAATTGCAAAGTTAATTTCAACACACTTATCCAACCTTCCACCAGCACTTACATTTTTCCCCCAAAATCACACAAACAATCCACTACCAAGTGTAAAAATGTCACCTTCATTTAAAAAGTCACGGACTTTTCTGTAACAAATATATATATATATATATATACATACCCACACATACCTACACAGCCTTTTGCATTTTTAGGTCCAGAATGAGATATTTTCTGTGCATGGAGTTTCTGTTGCTTGTAGAGATGGCGCTTGTGCAGGTGCTGCTGGGTTGCCACTTGTGGCCTGCCGTCATTGCAAGCTTTTCATGGCTTTTGACCAGGTGGGTACCTCGAAGCGGCTCATGCCACGACAGCGTCAGTTGTTTGCCGGCATTGCCACCCAGAGTGTTTAGTTACTTTGTGCCTGTTCCCAATGGCTGCTCGGTGGTTCTGCTGATATTACGGGCATGACAGTGCTTGGCAACGCAGATGGCGACTTCGTTCACTATGGAGGCTGAGGTTCTTGGTGGTTGAGGGATGCTTAGGAAAGCAGAAGACAAAGAAGAAGATGATTGTTTGGCCATAATCACGGTACATTTTGACATTTCTCTGTCTGTTTGGTGTGTCGATCAGTGGCCGTTGAAGGTGATTCTACGTGATTCTCATGTGCGAATAAGTTCATGTGAGGTGGTGTTGGAATCGAGGGTCTTGTTGGCACAGTTAAGCCCTTTAGGTTGCTGTCCATGTGTCAAAAAACAGGGGCCATGCATTAGGGTTTGTGTGTGTATTCAATTGCAGGATCGCCCCTTCAGCTGACCAAGCATTAGTGAATCTGCGAGTGGAGTTGCTAGATGAGATTTTTGCGTGAAGCTGAAGACGTTATTGGAAAAGCAGCTCATGAAAACTTTGTGGTTTGGTGTAGTGTGTGTACAAGTTCCAGTTCAGATTGTAAGAAGAAAAGCCTTTACGATCGGATCCTTGCCTTCTTGTGAGATTGGTGTGTTACTGGGAACAAACTTGTCATTCATGAGGGACAATCTTGTTTTCAATAATGTTGTGCATGGATAGATGCGAAAGTAGGTATTATTAACTTGATGATCTGTGAACTCACTTTTATCAAGCTTATCTCCACTTGGTAAGGTGTCTGTGTCATGTTGCTGATCACGAGAATGCTGTCACGGTGGTTTCTATGAAGCATACAACTTAGGAGACTTTGCCGGTTGCGAATATCTAGACCTCGATGAAGTCAATCCATCAGTGATATCACCAGTGAAAACTCACATGATCGGACCTGAAGGCTCGAGTTTTGAATTTGAAGCCAGTTAAACATCAGCATTGTGTTGTTTAATATCAAGGATGGGCAACGAACTCATGTATCTACTGCTGGAGCATGGCTTCCGGATCGTTCGCCATCTTACATTCTTCCCATACGGCAGGTGGTTTTATTCGTCATTCTTTGTTCACTGAAGATGGACTGAAACTTTGCCTGTCATGCTCGAACCATATAATCAACAACCACCTTTTTGTTCTCCAGATCTTGTTCAAGCGTCAACATGTAGCTGATGTTAGTACAGTCGTGTGAAATCAGATTGAGTAGAGTTTTAAGGTCTTCTATGTCTCAGTATTCGCGAGGCACAACACCATAGACTGTTGGAACCAAATTTGATAAGTTCCTGGGTATACATTCGTTTGATATGCTCGTGGGAGTAACGAGTAATCAGCCAAGGATTATCCTAGAGTATTTGAAGTGCTAGGTTGTCCACGCGTTGCACGAACTGTAAGTATAAACATTTATCTCACCGCCCTTCAAATATCATGACTTCTCTATTGGACATCGAAATTCTATTTGACTGAGCTCAATTTTGCTGCCGCAATTTCCTTTGTAGCTGGGTTGCGCAACATCTGGAATGCACGATGTCTTGAAAAAGTCGTAGTTGGGGCGTTTCAAAAATTAACTTAGACTCATTCAAAACCTTGAGGGAACTCCTTCCACAGCAGCCTATTTTAGGTCATTTTAACCTTAGGGTTACTGTAAGAGGCAGTCATGTTCTCGCTGATTTGTAGGTGGGGCATTGATCAAACTCGCTTTTAAACCCCGCAAGATATCAATCACATCTTTGAATATCGATTGTGGTTTCAATTTTTGGAGTAACGTGTTATTTTTGTCTTTGAGTGAAGAATTGAAACAAAACAAGGCTAAACGGGACTTGAGCATCTTAAATGGTCTGAAGGCTTGTACATGACAATAACTTACGAGTTTGAGATGCAAGCTTGTTTTTGAGTAGCAAGAATGCTAGAAAAAATCTTCAAGAATAAACGTTGGTGTGTTTCACTTGAACATGGCCTGAAATGACACGATTACACATGAGTTTTGGAAACGTATCCGTGGGCGTTTTGGAAACGTATTCTGACTTTCTAAACTCAAAGATCCTCTCAAAAGGTGACCTTGATTCTTGACCCACATTTCGATGCAAATTTGTTTATACTTACAGTTCGTGAATCCTCACTCTAATCAACAGAAGGAAGAAGTGTTAGTTTCGATTCTGGTAATGGTTATCTTGTTCATTATGGACCTTGTATCATAGATTTCATTGATAATTGGACTGATTTTATGCTAAAGGTTTCAACGGATGCTGTTACAGCGTCAAAATTGTAGATTGCACATTGGAAGATTCAATACAGAGAACTCTCATTTGGATTTGCAATTGACGATACAAGAATTCCAATGGAGTTTAAATGATATGTTGCATGTGTTGCAGCTCCAGGAGCAGAATTGTGTAGAATGCGAAGAGACTAGTGATGAATAAGCTGATGGCCCAAGGATACAAGTGCTAAGAAATATTGAACATGGGCATAAATCCTGGTGTAGTCATTTTAAACTCACTTCGTTATAAAACAGAATTTGAGAAGTTGAATCTGGCACCAATAGCAGTTGTTAAAATACAGTTATGTTACTTTGCAAAATATTTCTAATATATTTTTGCACGTACTTCAACTTCTGGAGTTATCCAACAGTATATTCATTCCAGTTTCTGAAAGAGTATTCTTTTTCAATCATTTCTGATACTTTCAGATTCTAAGATTTATCAAAATGAATGTCTACTTAAGTCTGCACTCAAATTTTGTGAAATAAAACTTGATATTAATTATACAAGTATGTGTGTGTTAATTAATATTTTTATTTACCTTTATTTATTTATTTATTTATTTATACTATCCTAAACTTTATTATTGGTTTGGAATTAAAATTTCGAAATTAAAACTTTTAAAATATATATATACATTTGAAATGTAAAGATTAAAATTTAAGGATCTAGTTCATTTCATCACTAATTTATTTCAAAAGTCAGTTATATCACACTCCCAAAAATATGAACCACCGGATGCACAGAGTTCCCTAGAAGAGGCTCCGTCAGTGTCATCGGGTCCCGTTCACACTACAACCTCATTTTCGGTGAACAGAGTTCTCTGCGAGGGCCACCGTCCATGTCATTGGACCTCGTTCACACTGCAACCTCATCTACGCTGCGCTAGATGGTCAGAGTTCTCTGCAAGGGGCTCCGTCTGTGTCTTTGGGCCCCGTTCACACTATAGCCTCATGCTTGACAAAACAACTCTCTTCATGGAATTTCCCTGTTCACACTAGAACCGCTTTCACACCACAGCCTCATGCCCGACACACTTTGTTCAAATTTGAGGAGTAATAAAATGTAAAATCATGAATGATGTTACAAAAATAGAAAATTTTAATTTTAATTTTTTAATTTTTTAATTTTTCAAATATCAAATCTCAAATGTACTTGTGCTGGCTTGTCTGATGATTTGCACTCTCCCATCAATGTTTATTGATAGGCGAACCATCTTCTCAAAATTGCCACGTCATTTCAGACAGTGCATAGACATCTTACTTTGAAATGACACCTTGAACTCATGCACCAATTGCGGCATCAGTTCATCTGGAACGTAAAAGTCTTCCACAGCATTCTCCTGCAATTCTTCATACGAACAGCCTTAGCGAACCAGCACCCTCACTCCTGGTTACGCACAAGTTCAAAGAAAGTGGTGAACTATTTGATCATCAAAGTACGCAACCGGATGCAAAGGAACATCTCTGCTAAAAGGCCAATACGTGTGGAAATTACAACAGCCTCGATTAACCGCTTAGATTCCGTGCAGTCCGAGTTTGTTCTATTTCACACACCTGAGCAGCAGCGGAGGAACAGCTAGACAAAGTTCCACTCGTCTTTGTAGGCTCTCATGATCTCACAAACCCGCGACACAACTTTCACATCCCTATCGATTTCAAAATTTTAACGCGCTTGAATAGAAAAGACTAATACTGATAAGTGAGGTAGTACCAGTCCGTTCACCTTAAAGCCGAACTCGACCGTCAAACTTCCATCGTGCGACAAAATTTGTCCAAAATACACAGTCAGTAACTAAGAAACTTACGACTCTGCGCAGGTCTTATGAACCTCGAAGCTCGTTCGCACCTTTTTGCTGGTTCACAGGCACAACAACAATGAATCCAAATTCTCCAAGAACCTCTGGAATATCAGCAACTTCGCACAAACAGTGCCGAAATTGTTGATGGCTTTACCTTACCAGCAAGCACACAGGGTACTGTTCGCAATCTGGTGCAAGCACGTTCTGTAAACCTTTCACTGCGCTGCTGCTTCAATCTCCGCCCTGCAACATTCCAACGAAACTAAGATCTGTCTGAGACCGCCCTCGGCAAATTAGTAATCACAAGATCGGAGGTGAGTCCCATTCACACGGCCAAAGCTGATTAGTCCGATTCACACGGTCACAGCTGCTTGGCCTGGATGCACAGTCATCAACAGCTGGTCCACGTGTCTTGTTGCTATTGCTTCACTTCCCGCTCTATTTTTGCCTTTGAATGCGTGCTAAGAGTTAGGTGTTGCTTTCCTAAAATACTTAAAAAAGGATTTGATAAGAAAGTTGTGTTTTCATGTGAATGCATTACAGCATGATCAAGGGTCTTGTTTGTACTTCTAGAATCTGCTACCATACAACTGGTATTTTGAATTTGGAAATATTGGATAGTAGGTTTTGACATTGTGATGTTGTGTTTTAAAATTTTGATGGTTGATTAATTTCTTATATTTTAATATTGAAAAAAAAGGTAATCAAATTGAATATAGATAAGAATATATTACTGTTCATTTTTAAATTTATGTGGTATTATATCTTACTTAATAAAATTTACAAAACATTATGACTATGTGAAAGAATGATAATTTTTTTTATTTCAAGATGAGTTTTCTTGATAACAAATACTGACAAGATTATCAGTTTTATACACCATTAAGTAGCTTGTTCACAACAAAGGGCCTTGGAAAATTATCTTCTAACAAACAAATGATTCTGGTGAGCCTGCTTTATATGCCATGGATGGAAATGCTTAAGGAATTCAATGACTTTACTTGGTGATTCATGAGGTTATCACATTCAATGTGGTAATAATAACACAATGCCCTATTATTATTGCTGATAAACACGTAAGATATTTCTTTACATTTATGATCACTTTACTGACTCACAACTAGATAGAGATCATTGTCAATGAAGCCTCAATACCACTTACACCACCTTATGATCTTTCAAGTAATTCATCAAGCATCTTATTTGTCTTTGTAGTATTTTGACAAATTATGCACAAAGTTATTTTTAAATTTTTTTCATGATGTTTTACTTTGTTAATTGGTAGCATCTGGTGTTGATAAATTCTTACGTCCTGCATAATTAATTTTGTAGTGTTTTAGTTTTTATTTTTTTAAGATTAAATTATTAGAACATAATCTTAAACACAGAGAAGCAGCTCTATAAGATGAATTCAAACTTATGAATAGAATATATGATAAGTCTTGTTAGGCTTGTTAAACATCATGATTTTAATTATGTTATTTTATCAAACGTAGTAATATATTTTAAAAATAAAAATCTTCACTGTCTAGTAAAGACTGTATGAAACTTTTCCAATTTTAACAGTTGAATTTACAGTTAGAATGTTATTTTCATTTTAAATATATTCAAACAAAAATAAACATGTTTGATAAATAGTTATAAAAATTCTATGTGTTAATAAACTTGTTGGCCATGCAATATTGCTTAGGTTTTAAACATTCAATGCAATTTTTAAAAAATAAATTAAATTCACATTTTAATTGAAAACACCCAAATCCCTAAAAAAATCCAAAATCCAAAAAAAATAAAAACAACTTCTGTGAACTATGAATCATTCTTGTGTTGGAAAAATATCATTGCACTTGGTATATAAAATAATGTTGTTTTTGTTTTTGTTTTTGTTTTTTTTTTTCAGGAATAATCTGCATTCTTAATATTCCACTCAAAAAGCCCACTTCCAATTTCAGTATGATATATTCAATGAACAATTTCAGATACTCTATATGGATTTGTTAATTATTTATCTCCCCATTCATTCTTATCAATGATAATAGTTTCTATATTTTCTGCAAGATATTAAGATATTGCAGCTTGTGATCAACTTCCAGGAATGCCACAATCAAAGGAATCACATTTAGAATGGAAGAACAGAATTTGTTCCACTAGCCATGTTACCACTTTGTCAAACAGAACAAGTTCCCTTCCCCAGCCAGAAAAATTCTCTTTTATCCTGAGAATTGTTCCTGGATGAAGGTATATCTGGCAGCTTGGTAGTGACCCAACCGCTCTGCCCCTCAAACTCTACTTTGACCTCCACAGCTTCTGAACCCCTTCAATGTTCACATTTCAGAGTCTCTCGTCATTTCCTACAGAAGCTGAAGAGGGACTGTTTCTCCCATGAATGATACTGTCAGCTCAATTGCTAGTGAAGAAGAAGAGCCCAATTGCTACAGACATTGTCCCTAGAAGATAGTTTGGTGAAACCAAAATGCGTCGGAAACCAAAACCAGGTGGAAATGGAGCTTAATTTAGGCATAGGTTTGAAAACCATGTGCTCTCCCCATAGGATAAACCCAAATCCTACCATCCACATCCACACTTATTACATTTGAGCTTGTGTCCAACATGGAGGCTCACTGAGTACACCCACACCCTAATTACCATTATGATTATTAAGAGATCTCTGAAGGGAATGTTGTTAAGAAGCTATGTAAACAGTAGAATGCCCCACAAATGGGGTGGATGGATGATGATGGATGGATGGCTGTGGATTGCTTGCAAGACTGGTTTTAGCTCGCAAGCATTCAAGTGCGGAGGGAACGTGAAAGGGAACGTGAAGGGGAACGGTGTCTTCAGAGCGGGGTGATGCCCTGCAATGGCGCTGCTGCTACTCTGTATATTTGATCCGCCATTCTCTGTCGTTGCCATCGTCGACATTGTCTGCTCTCCAGCACGGGTATGCGATTCGCGACTGGAGTCTTGGATGCGTTGCTCGAGATCAGACCGAGGTCATTGCAATCCAAATTCGCAACCGATTTGAGCGAGGTGGTGGTGCTGGACTTTTGATGCTTCTGGAGAGTGGCGAACAAAAGACTTTCTTGTGGAGTTGAGGCAAGAGGTGCGTTTAAACTGACGAATGTGGTGGTGTATTGCGATTGCGAGTGCGATGATACGAGCAGGAAGGCGGGAGGTGTTGTAGAGATGAAGGTGTTTCGTGCTGAGAGGAATCTGGAGGTGGAGGATTCCGAACGGATTGTGAAGGAAACGGGACGATAGCTGCCTGAGAGAGAGTTTTGTTTTTTTTTTTTTGTTTTTTTTTTTTTTTTTTTTTTTTTGCAGGGACGAGGAAGAGCAGGTTGGCGAGAGAGGAAGCGTGTATGTCTGACAGTGCGAGTCTAGGGAAGGAATATCAGGGCATCGGGGTGCTCGAAAATCCTTGCCAATGGCCTCACGTACGGAGTCGTCGAAGATTTGCTGCTACTCGCCCGCCTCTCCTCTCGAGGACACCGAATCGGACGCCTCCTCAACCTCGTCTTACTCTGAATCGTCTTCGTCGCGCAGTACCACGGGTGGTGGAGGCCTTCAGTCTCAACCAGTTTCAGGGGAGGAGATGATGGAAGAAGAGATTCCCCTCAAAAATATCCAGATTCCTCGCGGGTCCCTGGATTCTGCAGCCATAGTCGCTGGAAGTGCCTTGAAAGGTTGGATTCCTCGTTCAATCTGCACCCTCTCGTATGCAGCTTGCATGTCAGGCTCTTGTTGTGCTTTTCTGTGTCGTTTTGAAATTAATGATCTTTATTGCTGTTTTCTCAACGGTTTAAAGTACTTCCATCCTTAAATAGTGCAATACCTACTAAATCTTGGATCCTTGCACGATGAATTTGAATTCTGCTGTTCGGGATTTCTGTCGATGATATGAGTTGATGAAGTGACTATGCGGCACATTTATGAATTGTTTTTCATTTAAACGAAGATTGAGTTTCCATTTATTTGGGTGCGGGTCCTCTGTCATTGTTACATGCTTGGGGCATGTGGCGAGAAATCGGAACAATTGTGTGATAGCATCTTCATTACGTGATATGCTGCGAAGAGTTTGGTTAATCTGTCTCAAATCAATATCTCTAGGAATCTTGTTATTCAATGGTCATCTAATCAATTGACCATTTAAATTCCAGTGTGGAAAAAAAGTTAAAAATGAAACTTGCAAGGGAAGAACCCGTGCAGTGTCTCGATTTTCTTTGTGGACTTGGATTCCGTGGAGCACCTAAATCCACACTTGCGTTTTTCACATGAGTAGCATGGTAGGTAATCATATTTTCATATAACGGGATTGGCTCCTCTGATTCGTCATATTAAATTCGCGAGTTATTATGCCTATTGTGATCAACTCTGTACGATCTTCTCAGCACACGTTCCTGAAGACGTCGAGGTGAGGAGAATGAAGATGTGAAGTCGTTGAAGTGAGGAGAATGAGGCGGCAGTATCAAACACGCTTAATTCTTGTGAGTGTTGAATTTCTTCGCAGGGCCGCCTGTGTTGAGGTCTCAGACAGCACACCCCTTGAATCCTCTGAGTCCCACGGAGATTGCTGTTGCTATAAGAACTGTTAGAGGGGCAGGGGAAACGCCTGAAGTAAGTGCAAAAAATCGATCCATCGTCTTTTCTTTCCATGCCAGTTGGATTCTCAGCAGCTTATGAAAATACAAGATTCATCTTGGAAGCATAAATTCTGTGAAAAAGGCTGCTATTCCTGTATCGATCTATGCTTGGGTGCAAACTTGTCACACTGTTCTCATCGTTTTTATTGAGGGTACAGAAGCTTGGAATCTCATATGCATCATTTCGTATTCAACTGTTGTAGAAGCTTTTTGGTTATAGAATCTTTTAGGCAGCTTACAACCTTCACAAAGTTGATTTTCAGACGACGATTTTGCAATTAATTTGTCGTTTGACCCGTGCTGATGCAATTTATGCTTCACGATCGCAACTTGCTCCGTTCTGAGTATCATTTGTGTTGGAAACTGGTGCACAGCCTCAAGTCTGAGTTCCTTAGGAATTTGAAGGTTTACACGATCGGATATATTTGATAAATTTCTACGCGGACGGACAATTCTAAAAGTACTTCACAATCTTGTTGCTTATAGGTGCGGGATGGGATGCGATTTGTGGAGGTAGTGCTTAGTGAACCAGAAAAACATGTGGTAGCCATGGCAGACGCGTACTTCTTTCCTCCATACCAACCCATGCTGTTCACGCTCAAAGGAAAATCATCCTTATACCCATTACGTCTACCACACAGGCGGGCTAGGCTTGTTGTGTATAATAAAAATACAAATATGACCAGCATATGGGTGGTGGAACTTAGTGAAGTTCACGCTGCTGCTCGTGGAGGACATCATCGTGGAAAGATCATATCTTCCAACATAGTTCCAGATGTTCAGCCTCCTATGGTACTTTTGCTCTACTTCTACATTAGCCGATTAATTTACTAAACGATTGAGTGATTGGTTGATTCTTATCTAATCTTGTGACAAGTACTTGCGGCGCAGATCTTCGATGCCTATGTCCTACCAATATGAGAGTTAATTTTGCAAATGATTTTTTCTTGTCTGTGTTGGGATGGCAGGATGCTGTGGAGTATGCTGAATGTGAAGCACTTGTAAAAGAGCATCCAGCTGCCATTGAAGCCATGAAAAGAAGGGGGATTTACGACATGGATCTTGTTATGGTGGATCCTTGGTAAACCTTTCACTCTCTAATTATACTTGGTGGCTTCCCCACTTATTGGGGGGAGTTGCTAAGGTTTGTGGCGTTCGAAGGTGCAGTAAAAACAGTTACAATACAGCACGTACACTACTCAGTGCATTGCTTAAATGCATGACTTCCATATCAAACCTGTTGTCTTTTAATTTCAGAGTTCTATCCGCACACCTGGAATTTATTCAATTAGTTGTAGTGTGTTGCTCGATGGGCAGGGGGTTGGTATTCTACATCTATGTGAAAGTGATACCCCATATCTAGCTCTCAAGCGCATTTTCTCGAGCCTCTTGGACGTTGGTTTCACGTAGTTCTGTCATGAGACATGTTGGGGAGCCTTCTCATGTTTCTTTTGCTCGTTAATTTTTCCTCCGGAGTTTCAATCATCTCCCGTTACATCGCCTTATGAGAATATTTGAGAGGTGTTCAAATCTGGTAGTTGGCTATGCACGTCACGTGCCTTTATCTATTCTCGAAATGTTATTTTGAGTTTTATGCAATGCTAAGGAACATTTTTGGATGGGCTGTTTGCAGGTGTGTGGGGTATTACAGTGAAAAGGACTCACCAAGCCGAAGGCTTGCCAGACCATTGATCTTTTGCAGAACAGAGAGCGATTGTCCTCTTGACAATGGATATGCACGACCTGTGGAAGGCATACACGTGCTTGTAGATATGCAGAAAATGGAGGTGCTACCCTAGTTTTCTACTTTTATGGATAGGAAATATTTCTTTCTTTCGTCGTTTCTATTCCTACCACTTGAGCATTTCATTCATGACTGATATTACGGCCGTAACTATGTGGACTTCACAAGAAGCCTGTTATACATTCCAATGTCTTCTGGGTCGCATTTTGTCGTGTGGAGTTGGAGGTTTTAAATAGGAAACAAATTAATGGAGTACGTTTTGTGACAACTTCTTTTCAGTTTTGTCTTCTTCCCTCTGTAACTAAGTGAGGGTTCTTTTGATTGCAGGTTGTAGAGGTAGCGGACAATAATCTGGTTCCACTACCAGCCCCAGATCCTCTGAGAAATTACACAGCTGCTGCTACGCGCGGGGGTGTGGATCGGAGTGATATAAAGCCATTGCATATATCTCAACCTGAAGGACCTAGCTTTCGTGTGAACGGATATGCAGTGGAGTGGCAAAAGGTACCAAATTGGAGAATGTTTTGGACCCGATTTCATTATGACGAGAGCTTAATGTGCTTGAACTCATGAATGATTCTCAATAATTGGAACACGATTCTGTTCTCTACCAGCAGTGAGGTGCTTTTGTGCGACAAATGAACTCCTCTGTTCGACTAACTATTCATCGTGTTTTGAAACACCTATGCAGTGGAATTTTCGGATCGGATTCACACCAAAAGAAGGTTTGGTTATTCACACGGTTGCTTATGAAGATGGTAGTCGAGGAAGACGATCAATTGCACATCGTTTGAGCTTCGTGGAGATGGTGGTTCCCTATGGAGACCCTAAGGACCCGCATTATAGGAAGAATGCATTCGATGCGGGAGAAGATGGGCTAGGAAAGAACTGCCACTCGTTAAAACGGGTTAGTACTGCTTTCATCACCATAGGACGAATTCAATCACGTCTTTGTCTCTTTTGCTGGATGTGGCTCGTGATTTAGATGTTGAAAGGTTCTTAATCACACTCATTAAACTGCAGCGGTTTGAGAATCAGCTGCTCAACTCACGGGCAACTTGAACTTCACTATGCGAGTTGAGTTCTTTCAAAGGAACAGACTTGCTGAGTTGTCATTGCGTAGAGATGTGCAGGGTTGCGATTGTCTTGGCTTAATTAAGTACTTTGATGCACATTTTACCAACTTCCATGGAGGAGTTGAAACGATAGAAAACTGTATTTGCATGCACGAAGAAGATCATGGCGTGCTGTGGAAACACCAAGACTGGCGAACTGGTTCTGCAGAAAGCCGTCGGTCTCGGCGATTGTCCGTTTCGTTTTTCTGCACTGTTGCCAACTATGAGTATGGTTTCTACTGGCATTTCTATCAGGTTTTATTTTCTTTTGCCCTCCTGTATACTTGTTCTGCTTACAAAAGGATGTTTACAGGTCAATTTGCTTTTATCTCTGTTGCAACAATTTACTCAATGTTGGAGTGTTGTCCCCCATGTTTGGTGAATGCACTGCATAAAAAACTGTCTTGTTCATGCTCTCTTCTTTTGTCCAGCCAGAATAGCACGCATAAATTTCCGAACAGATCTAGCTGCATTTCACTTTTTAGTTTCGAAAAATATCTTTTGGTACATGCCCAGTTGATATTGCATATCTTTGGTAACAGCAATCTAACGAACACCAGTATCAGTAGACCTATTGGAGAGATTTGTCAACTCTTATCAAACCGTTTACGTGCGCGATCAGAATTTTAGAAGGAGTTGATAAAACTTTTTCTGCAGTATTATTTTGTAGCCTCTTCATACCAGATGAGAGTAACTTTCAGTTCTGAATGATTTATCATAAACCTGAGTCAGCAAGAGGACAGAATCTGATGATTGGAATGCAGCATTTTAAAAATTGGTGGCTATGTTGCTTTGTTGAGTCAAGAATGTACATCTCCAGGTAAGTTTCTCAGTCTGAATTATTCTCAGATTCTGAAAGAGGTGAGAAGAAATTTTCTTAGGTAGCACAGCCTTTTTTTTTTAACACCATGCTTATAGCCATCAGTATCTGTAACAGGGCTTCGCTCTTTGTAATAGTTTACCTGATGTTTACGGTTTCCTTAATAATGGCTGTGCTTTTCTCGCACAGTTGATCTTCAAGACCATCATTTTAGTTGATTTGAGAGTTGATAGCATTAGGTGCACAGTTTGCTTGTTGCATTTTTGCAGTACATCTGAAACTGAAATGTAATCAGTCCTGATTAGTGGTTGGGCTGCCTTTTGGTCGCCATTGTTGAATTTTCTCCTCTCTTGTAAGGCAAAAATCTATCGCACAGGTCTATTAATGGGGCGTGGACTATCGTTCCGCGGTTAATCTCTTAGGAGAGACCTATAAATCGTGATGCAGAGTAAAATATTATTCAAGCTTTACAACGTTAGAGCTGAAGCGGAAGAGGAATGCATAGCTTTGGGTGACTGTAGTTCAGTTGGGAAGTTTGCTGTTGTGACAGGCCAAGTTGTGGTCTGTAGCTTGATGTCACCTAAGCTGTACCTGTGGTCTTGTTGTCTCCTCAAAAGCCTAACGAGGATCAATAAAGAGGTTACTGGAATTGCAAGATCCGACATATGTATTGGTCGCATTTGAGCACCTCTTGCCTGCATGAAAACAGTGTTGTTAGGATTGTTTCAAGTGCCTCAATTTTGCACTAAATGCACATACGCATGTGCATTGTGCCTTAGTTAGGCTCTCACAACCCTTCCGAAATTCACTGCGTTTTTCTTGCAGTTTCGAGTGGCTCTGGATGGCACAGACGAATTTTGCTTCTTTGATTTTCTCGGTTATAGATGCTACCTGGAGGCAGCTTAATTTTTTGATCCAACGAGTGTCCAATAAAGCATGGTCAATACCCTTCCTATGCGATAACATTGAGACTATGATAGAAATTCAAGCTGGCACTTCATATCCATAGCAAGTTGGTATTCATTTGTAGATGCTGCTTCTGTTTTCTTAGGGTGATGTAAGTGTGTGCATTAACTTTCATAAATTTCTTTTTTTGGGTTGGTTTGTTCTTTTCCCCCTTGTGTACAATTGAATGCTTTATGAAGACCACCTTCATTTTTACAGTCTGTATAGGTAGTGGATTGGGGGATCTGCATTTTTTAACACCAGTTTGGAATGTTTGCAGGATGGAAAGATAGAAGCTGAAGTGAAGCTTACTGGCATATTGAGCTTGGGTGCCCTGAACCCGGGCGAGAATCGCCGGCATGGCACTGTGATTGCACCTGGCCTCTATGCACCAGTACATCAACATTTTTTCGTTGCTCGGTTGAACATGGCGGTTGACTCAAACCCCGGTGCGGGGCTAAATCAGGTAACCTGATGGAGATCTTCACGCACCAATTTTTTAATTGCCATGATTTGGACAAAGGCAAGGTAGTTCATGTTGACATGACAGCTTACGTCGTAGCTGATTTTCATGTGTCAAACTCTGGCAGTTGGTAGTTTGTGAACCGATTATCTTTTATTCATACTCTCGATTTAAAATAGTAATTGAATTTTGCAAGTCCTCCTCTGGCTACTGGGTTTTTGATGCGATCGAATTATTTTATCAGGTGGTGGAAGTGAATGTGAAGGTAGAAAAGCCAGGACCTAGTAATCCACACAATAATGCATTCTATGCCGAGGAAACTCTATTGCGCTCAGAACAAGAAGCTCAAAGGGACTGCAATCCCTTCAGCGCCCGACATTGGATCGTGAGTTGCAGTTCTCAGAACTTCTGAATCCACCCATGCACATGTTTATTTATTTTTCAGCGCAACTATTCTCATGTAGGTGTTGCTTGAGTCGTAATATCCTCTAAATCAGCTGTATGCTTGAAGCTTCATTCATTTGATGTCTTGTTGATTAGCTCGATATACTTTCAGAGTTTGAGAATCTGTCATTATTTTTGGCGGATCGAAACCTGACATTAGTAGGCTCAGCAGAAATAGGAAAAGCACTTAGAAGTTAATTTTTTGTAGGTTCGAAACACAAGGACATTCAATCGAACAGGGCATCTCACGGGCTACAAGCTTGTGCCAGGCTCCAATTGTCTACCACTTGCTGGTCCAGACGCGAAGTTTTTGAGACGCGCTGCGTTCCTGAAGCATAACCTGTGGGTGACTCAATATTACCCTGACGAGATCTTTCCCGGTGGAGAGTTCCCAAACCAAAATCCACGGGTGGGTGAGGGTCTTCCTACTTGGGTGAAGCAGGATCGAAAACTGGAGGAAACAGATATTGTTCTTTGGTAAGTTTTTGAATGTTTTTCTGTACATTGCATGTCTTAAAATCTAACGTGCTACACAGCTAGTCCAAGGATCGACTAGACTGAAGTTTGCGGCAAGCATGTTCACCGGAATAGAGATGATGCTTCCTCCAGTTGGGATCCTGAATGAGCTAATTTTCTCCACTCGTTAGGACTTGGCCTATAGGTTTCGGCGTACGCAACGTCAATTGTAGAGTAAAAGAGCCTAACAGCCCAGTTTGTCTATTTAAGAACTTTCTTCTGAATTTTCAGTGAGACCTTTACTTGTAACTTTACTTGTGGGTAGGGAGCCTATATATGCGTCTGTGAAACTGCCATAATATGCTTACATCCTTTCTGCAATTTATTTGAGTGCAGGTATGTATTTGGAGTCACTCACATACCTAGACTGGAAGATTGGCCAGTTATGCCTGTGGAGCACATTGGATTCAGTTTGGTGGTTAGTGTACCTCTTGTCTATATACCCGAAAGCTAGAGTCCTTGAAAAATTCTACCCATTGGTCTGTTTCTGTTGAATCTTGGATAAGTAGTCTTAAGTACTTCTGAAGCCGTGCACTAACATAGAAAAATTGACTGGTTTTGATCTGGTACAGCCACATGGGTTCTTCAATTGCTCACCTGCAATTGATATTCCGCCATACGACTCAACAGACGAGAACAGTCACAAGGAGACTCCCATGAAAGGAAGCCAGCCAGAGATGGTACCAGGAGGTCTTCTTTCAAAATTATAAACATGCTCCTTGTAGCTTAACCTGCAACGTTACTGGGCATGCAGCTGTGGCAGTGGTAGATTTTGGAGGAGTGACTTGCATACTAAATCATTTATTTTGAATGATGTCTACACCACTAGATGTACTCTGTACTTGGCGCTGATCCTGGCCGCCTATTCAAACGTAGGATTAAGCAGATCATGTGGTTCGTTTGCTCTTTCTGTGTCTTGCATTCCATGTTGTGTTGGTGTTACATTTCTTGCAGAGGGCCTTTTTCCTTCTGCTTAAAATGGCACTTACAGAATTGTTCAAAGGGGAATCGGTCTTTAACTTTCTCGATCCCAAGTGTAAGGCCTTAGTGTGTTCGGAGATGAATATTGATCATCACTGTACTATTTCTTGACATTACATTGTTCCGAATGAAGGACTTTTTCTAAGCATTACGCTGAATGTGATGTCCTTGAAGTTGTACATGCGTCTGAAGAATGTCTTGTACATTAGTGCAGTCCAGCATTAATCAGAACACCTCAAACACACCTGTACCGGTGGCATGCAGCATTGTTGACAATCACTGTCTGTTTCACTAATAGACCAATTGATTTGGGTAGTCATTGGGCGATTCCCGTTAGAAAGTGCAACAAATTCTAGTAAATTTATATTTTTTTCATTAGGTATTTTGTATTGAATCTGTCAAATTAATGTAGAAAAAACAATGAGGAAAAAATTCGATTTCCTGAAAAGTTCTAAAATCTTAATCATATATAGTAAGTGTTTGAAGATCTTTTCAGGGAACCACCAGGTGGACACCTCCTTTTACTGCTTGGATACCCCACGCACCCCCCTTATATACAATAAAACTGCTATTTACAATAAAGTTTTAGGATAAATTTATAGTAAAAGATACTCTAAATGAAATTATTAAAAAAAAGTTTAAGTAGGTGAAAGAATTTTATAAAATGTATTATGAATTTTTTTCAAATTTAATCAGAAATAATGAATAAATAAAAATACAATAAGCTATTGCACACCAATTTTATACATTAAATTATTTATTTATTTTAAATGTAAATTGGAGTTATATTGTGTGTATGCAAGGATTTGGAGCATGGAGATGTCTACATTGTAAAAAGGGGGTATCCATCCAACAATTTTCTATTTTGAAGAGTTTTGTGAAGATCCTAAACCTGTCTATTCATTCTTGAACAATAGTTGTTACTAAACATTTGAAGTTTACACATGATTTTCATTTGCATAATTTTGTGTTAAAATAACAAGTTAATAATCTATAGACATTTGATTTCAAAAAAAAACTAAGAAAACTTACCATTTCTACAAAGAATTTCTTGAGTTTTAAAAAATATTGTAAATCATTCTAAAAAAAGTACTTATTACTAAATTTACTTTAAGACATTTCTACATGAATACAACCACTTTAGAAACTAGACAATCATTTGTCAAAACACATTATTGCTTTGTTGTGTATCTTTAAAATTTTATGGAAATAAAATATAAGAACTCTTCATCTAATAATATCTTATTAAATTTTAAAAGCACATTGATACTTTAAAAATGTCACATCATATCTTATTGGCAGCACTATAACTATTAATAAAATAAAATGTATAATATTTATACTTATTAAAGATAGTCAATATAATCATTAAATATTGTAGTAGCTAAAATATCTATCAATAATAAAATAATAAAAAAAAAAAATTAAATTTATTTTAAAGCTTTCCTAAGTTCTAAAATACTACAATAAAATAGTTGATTTATTAGGACAAAATTAACTTTAAAAAACTTAATCTATTTTAGATTTGTATACTTTAATTTTTTTTGGATTAACTTATAAATTTAACTATGCATGTGTGTGTGTGTGTGTATATATATATATATATATATATATATTGGAATTTACTATTCTATTCAATTATCTTCATTATATAAATATAATTATTTTTTTTCTAATAACTAATTAGTTTCACAAAGACAATAAAATTATATTTAATTTAAAGTTTAATTTAAATTTCTAATCATAATTTATAAAGTCTATTTATTAGTTTACATTAATTTCTAATTTATATGTGTTAAGTCTTGATGGTTTATTTGAATTAGATAAGTATTTGTTTGGTGGTTAATAACATTTTGATTCTTAAAATAATAAATAATAAAACAATTTTCAAGACATAAGAGAGTGATATTATAGATGTATCATGATATGTAAATAATATATTAGTATTATATTTTAAAAAAATATATATATATATATATATATATATATATAATTTTAAATTTTTATAATATATATATATATATATATATATATATATATATATTTAACTTAATTTTTTTTCATTTATTCAAGCATATTTTAAAATCTATCTCCAATTTATTTGTATATTTTAACTTTGTTTAATTTTATATTTGCAATAGTATGTATTTGTGTGCATAAAAACATATGTCTGTAATTGTGTTATTTTTAAAGTTTTATATTATAAACAACTTATATTTACTAATAAAAATATCTTTTAAGTACGATTATTCAAAATAAAATAAAATAAAAATTAATTAATTAAGAACCTAAAAACTACACTTATTTTAGTTTCACAATATGTGTGTATATATGTGTGTATATATATATATATATATATATATATATGGATTTTTTTTTGTTTTTTTTTTATAAAATTTCAATATAGAAAGAAAAAAAATTATTTTAAAATTTTAAATAAAAAAATCCAATTAATAATAAGAGATTTTGACAATGGAAATATTTAATATTTAAAGAAAAAAGAAAGAAAAATTTACATTAAATGCAATATATATATATATATATATATATATACCCATTCATTTTCAAAAAAAAAGAGTAAAAAGTTTTTGATAGTTACCTTCTATTGTTTCAAAGCCATATTTGTAAATAGTACAAACTTGCAAAGGGCACGTTAAAAAAGCCATATTAACAAAAGATTCTAATATAAGAGACACTATCATATATATATATATATATATATATATATATTGAAGATCAAAGAAAATATATGAAGCGTTGTATCTACTTAAAAAATTTACAAAAATTCTCAAAAATTCAACAATATTTGCTTCAAAAACCAAAAATATTTTCCTGAAAAGTGCTAAGTTTCTTTTTTGTAATATGTACATATATATATGTAGATATATATATATATATATATATATATATAAAATAGATTTAATTATTGCACAAGTACCAGCAGATCTAGAACATCACCCACTACACACATGCTAAGAAGTGTCTATACATGCCTTAAAAAAGATAATCAATCACATTTCGATTAAAACTCCTGCCAAATTAAATTTTCTTCCGCCTCCCTTACCCGCTCAAAGTCTGGATGATGATTGTGATGGGAATGATAATTATCGCCGTCCTCATTTTTCATTCATCCTGAGCCCTAACGAGGCGTAGTCCATTGAATGAATACACATATATATATATATATATATTTGTATGTATTTATGTGTATCATAGTTTGCGTGCATCTATGGCGGTTTCACAAACATAAAGCCAAGCACCATTCCGCATTCTCTGTAGGTATTGTTGGTGCCGGTAGCCGTTGCTGCAGCGGAAGACGTGGTCGGGAATTTGTAATGTGGCTTTCGGAGCTTGGTTAGGACGTGAGAGCGTGTATTTTTGCTGTGAAGCGACGATCTGAGGTGTGGGCTCGTAGAGTGGCTGAGAGGAGCGTTCTTGTGCCTGTACATTGTGAGGTTCACAGGCAGGGGAGGGAGCAGACGACTGCAAGGAGATGGTGCGATGACAGGGAGGTGCAGAATTACAGCGTTGGATGGAAGCTGTAATTCCACTGTTGCTGTTAGAGATTCGTGACATTACTCGGTTGTGTTGCTTCTAAAAGAAGCTCCCTCTGATTCACAGAGTCTGCGCCTTGGAGGCTGTCGAGAAGTACCGCATTATTGGTGTTCTGTAGATGAAGCTGAATTTTCTCTTATACTTCAGTTCTGCGATTATATCCATTGTGACCTTGGGCACCTTAGAATTGCTAGAAGTAGCTCACTGAATCTGGTGATTTAGTTGGTTACTCTCGCCTCTCTCTTCGTACGTCGGTATTCTACAGCAGTCCCTGCTGTTCGCAAATGACACCTTGTCTCTTTAGTTTTAGGAGGATTATTACAAGTCGGTTGCAGCACAAGGTAGCTTAGTTTAGTTCTTTTTGGTGATGTATTTAAGGTTTCTGTATCTCCAGGATTGGCTCTCTAGATTTCTTACTAGTTGAGCTCGTGTGGGACATTGAAGTGTCACAGTAATCGAGTTGCTTTTATGATTTTCGTTACATTACAGCTTGGCTTTCTCAATCTAAGTTTTGCAGATAGCGATGTGAACCTTCAAACTTCAGCATCATTCGCAAGAACACAAATGTTACCCGTTTAGATGCACTCCATAACTTTACTCGATTAATATTGTGCATGATGACAGCTTCTATCCAGGAATCAAGTCCTGTAAAACCGATCTGTCTTTTTATCTAGGGACCTCTGCTAATCCAACTCAGCATGGTTTTATTCCTCAACCTCCTAAACGACTCTGGTCAAGTTCACGCGAAATCTGTGAGTACCTTCGTTTCCATAAACTCCCCAGTGAAGCCTTCAACGAGGAGGATGTGTTCTTCGATTTTGTCACATTGAATGACTATCACTGCATGTGGTGTTTCAGGTGCCTTAAAATGGCCTACCTCGAGCCGAGAATGATAACATATTATACTGCATGTGTGTGTTTCTTGCAGATAAGAGGGAAGATGGAAACGTTGTAAATATGGCTCGCTAGTCGCACAGTGGTGAAGGCTTTGATACCTGCAGTGATGGGGAATCAATTTACACGTGTTCTTTTCAAGAAGAAAAAGTGCGACGAGAAGTCGAATCAACGATCCATTAGAGGTTTTCTGGATGAACAGTCAATCAAGGACCAGGCATTGGCCATGGCAAAACATGAATTTTATATGACTACTTTTAGTTCGCAGGCCAAAATGTTAAAAGATACTGCTATTGAGCCCCCGAGGCATAGCTACTCTGGGACGGGTAACCATGGAAGGATCGAGGGTACAAGAAGCTACAGTAGTCAAGTTCGTAGAGACATTGATTCCTTGCTCGATCCCATACAATCAATGCATCTGAGAAAGGTTATCTGAAAATTTTCTTGCTTCTTAATGTGTCAAGTCGGGCAAATTATTTTTTTAACAGGTTCCTGCCCAAGTGAATCCAATGTCAATATGAGCGTATACTTTTCGGCAGCATGTTTTGATATCGTTTCAAAAATTCTCCATTTGCTATGCGCGGGAGATGATTCTGTGCAGTCAAGTTCCTGCACCTGTTGGTACCACTGATCTTTGGTCTCGCATATTCGTATGTGACAAAAATTCTAAATATAAATGGCTGAACTCCTTATATTTCAGGAAGATTCATGGATGTAAACCTGGAAAGCAGGCACTTCGTCTTGGTTCATGGGGGTGGCCTTGGAGCATGGTGTTGGTACAAATCAATATCTTTGCTGGAGGACTCCGGGTTCAAAGCCACTGCCTTTTGACCTACTTGGATCTGGCATCGACCCTACGGACCCCAATCGTATTACAAGTCTTGCACAATATTTAAAACCACTTTTGGAGCTCTTAAAGAGACTCGGATCATCTGATGGTCATGAGAAGGTTAAACATCTTTGTTCACTGCTATATCGTTATACTGAGCTTCCTTAGTCCCTCCAGCGAACATAGTTTGTAATGTGAAATCTTTTGAATGACTCATTCTGACCTCTTCTGTAGATGATCTATACCGTAAAATATCAAAATAAACCTGTTGACATTATAGTCGTGTACTGAGGTTTCTGGGCAACCTATGGGTTGTGCATTCAAACCTGGCACAGAAAACAAATTCTCAACACTTCTGTATTTGTCAACAGGTGATTCTCGTCGGCCACAGTATAGGGAGTGCATGCATCTCACATGCGATGGAGTGCTTTCCAGAGCTGATTTCGAAGGCCATCTTCGTTTCAGTAACTTTGATTAGTAATAATCAAAGCGCCTTCGATATTCTCGCAAAGCATGTAAGCTCGTCAGAAATCCTTAAACATCATACCTGTCATTTATTTTCCTATTCCTTCATCAATTTCAAACTCTCCGTGTTATCCTTCTATTTATACTGCATTGATAATCTCAAATATTTAAATTGAATAGGTTCAATCCCCAGAAACCCTCATGGCAAAGGCTCAGGTTCTCATCTATGGGAATGGAAGAAGGAAGCCACCTACAGCTATTACATTTGACAAGAACTTAACGGAAGGTCTTTTCTTCAATACCTGCCCAGCAAAGGTAAATTTTAACTTTTAGTATGTGGTGTGATCGGTTCCTCTAAATATACATTGTAAATGTCGACAATTAGGCAGTGAGTGACCTTGCCCACCTTTTAGTTGAGGGTGAATACTACCCAATTTTTTTACAGTAATACTATAAGATTATTATACGCACTCTCTTAAGATTGTTCTCAGCTTAGCCCTACCAAGTCTCTAATTGACAAATTTATGGGCAATATTTTTTGTCAGGATGTAGCCTTGTCAACTCATTCAATGAGACCAACTCCTTTTGCTCCTACAATGGAGAAGCTCTCCCTGACACACTTGAATTACGGCACAGTGCGGCGATTCTACATCTCAACGACTGCAGATCAAGCCTTCCCGTTTCCAGCCCAACTTGTACTGATTGAAGAGAATCCTCCTGAGCGCGTGTACACCTTAAGAGATAGTGACCACTGCCCTTTCCTCTCCAAACCACAATCTCTTCACAGGGTTTTACTTAGGATTGCCCATCTCAATGAGAAATGTTAATATCTCATTGCAACGACAAAGATGACTTGCCGAGGATTATTGTTAATACATGGATGCGCCTTCCTCACCCTTGTTTGCATTGTCAAGGAGTGGAAGAATGGAAGATGTTAAGAGTTTTGCAACCAGTCTCACGCTAAATTTTTCAGTAGTTCCTCGCAGCAATACATTCAATTCAGTTTGCACCTAAATATTCATTTTTTATTAGCCATAATAGATTTACAAATAACAGCTCACAGGTCAAAAAAGTATCAGAAGTACGATTTATCAGTAAGCTGTTCACATACTGACATATCATTGTACATTTATAATTTAAACAGCAGTTGCAATATGCAGGGTCAAATATCATTATTACTGATAAAGCATTGAAATGTGACAGCCGCCATTCTAAAAGAAAGATGTCGCAATGCGTAACAGACCGTCTACCCTCGAGCTGAAAAACTCGAAGGCGTAACTGTCCTCTGAAAAAGGTTTTTATCTACCGACTACTGATTTTTTACAAAACCTGCTTGACAGTATATACTCTCATCGACGAAGAAACACTCTTCCAATAGGGTGTACTCGACAGACACCACCAGACCTTTTGTTCTGTTCTATGTTGAGGGTCACCATGTGTCGGCTACAGTCTTTTGGCAACCTTACCTATTCTGCTACTTAAGTACAAAATGGAACATGTAACATACAATTTGGTGACTAAGTCGCCGCAATATCTCTTCATACTCAGTAAATGAACTTGTCCCACAAATAATCTTCTATCATACAAATCAGAGCTCCGAAAAAAATGCTCCCTCCTGCCGCAAGCCCGTAGTGTGCCGTCTGCCGTTAGTCCAAAGACATCGCCTTGATAATCTTGGAAAAAGAAGCCCTCTCCAAATCAGTCTGTACCGGGTGGGTCAAAGTGTGCAGAGTCCATAATTTCTTCTGAATGGAATTTCCTGATGTGCGTCTCCGGTCATGATAAGTCTCTTCAAATGAGAGGTCCCTCCTATACTCCATGCTCCAGCCAACGGCCGTCAACAGAACTCGCGGAACATGTAAATGTCTCGTGTTCTCAAAACCAAACTCCTTCGTTGATATCAACCTCCAAATAATTCTAGTCATCAAACTCCTGAAATTGGAATCAAATTAGGACCTCGAGTTATCGGTCATCTCAAGATTCTTCATCTGTAGATCGATGTTCTACATTTGTTCGTGAGAATAGAAACAAGAACCCCAGAGAAGTTTCCGAATCCCAAAAGCACTGCTACTCAGCAGAGCAGTTGTGGTAGCTGAATCTGGTCACCAAACTTGTTCATTGGGATGTGAGGTGTTCACAAACTTAAAAGGACCTCCGTTGGGATTAGGGATCCGCAAATAATTCAAAAAAATTGTGTCGGTAGAACTACCTCGGGAATCCTGCAGGAGTCCACCTACAATGGTTCAATGAACATAGAAATAGGATTAGTCCACCTCATGGCTCCATTTGGAAAGTTTCACACTTCCGCAATGATCGAAAGAGAAATAATATTTAATGATGCTAGTCCATCCAAAACTAAGCAAGATAGAGGTGAACTCACTGAAGCAATGCTATCTATTATGAGGAATTCGTTAGCAGAGTCTGAAGTTACCAATTTAATCCTGCTTCGTGCTCGAGCATTTGAGACATTTACTCATCTTCCCATCTACCTTGCAGAATGGAGATTTGGCCTTCTTTGAACATGACATCTTCATCAAGTTGTTGTAGCTTTCGTCGCAAAAGCTCAACCTCCAAGCTCAAATGTAGTGCCTCGCGGCTGATGCTTTCAACCTCTTTCTCGCGTTCGTTGAGGACGTTCTCCGTGTCGGCTATCCGTGTTCGTGCACGCGCTTGCCAAGCTAATAACTGACCATGTTCCTTCCTTAACTCTTCGTAGTTCTGAAGCAAAGCACTGTACTGCGATTGACAGTGTCGCAAGTCACCTTCTAGGTTCAGAATGTATTCTTGAAGCATGTCATAATTCCGATTTCGTTCGTCCATTTCAGTCGCCCACTCCACCATTTGTTGCTTGAACTGATCCAGAGCAGCAATGGCCGCGTCCTTCTGTTTAATTGCTGTTGTAACTTGAGCATGTTGGTGCTCACTTTCCTGAATCTTGGATTGTAGGGATAGTGCAAGGTTTTCGTTCTGGGTGGAGAGCCGAACAACACACGCATTTTGTGCGCTAACTATTGCAGCCAAATCCAGTAACTTGGGCTCAAGCATTGTGAAGTTTAGAGATTTCCTTGATTCCACTGCCATTTTCTTCAGATTTAACATAGACTTCAGCATCTGGTTGCTTGTACTTAGAGCCTCCACACGCGTCTCCAAGTTCTGAACATCATTCTCTCGCGCTTGCAAAAGCTGGCGCTCAATGAAAAGCTCCTTCTTCAATGTTTCGTTACAAGTCATCACCTCTGCCAGCTTCGCCGTTGACACCGTTAGGACCTCTTTCATGGCTTGTCTTTGAGTGATAGAGAATTTCAATTTGGCAGATAACATTTTCACCTCCTCTTGAAGTTCTTGAACCTGCTCCACGCTGTCGATACACTCAACACATTGGTCATTGCGCCAGCACAGAAGCTTAGTTTCATTACGCGAATCCTCAAATTTTCCGTTTTCAGGCTCTTGATGTTCGCCCAAATTGTCAGAACAAGTGTTTTTTTCGTGGCTTTCACACAGTAGTTGCAATTTCTCTACCAACTCCTGAAGATCATGCTTGTCATCTTTGTGACATACAACTTGAAAATTGTTTGTGTGCGATGGTCTTCGTGAAGCTCGGGGGCTCTCGACACCGTTCTTCTGCAGCTCAATGACAAGCGCCTCTGCATCTTTCATTTTATCAGATAAATCTTGCAAACGATGCTCCACCTCTTTAACTCGTTCTTTCATGATCTCCTCTCTCAAATTCATGGTCGCCAATTTAGTTAAGAGAGTGTCAACTTCAAGTTCCTTGTTCTGTAGTTTCTCCTGCAGCAACTTCCCATCGTCGAACCCAAACCTTACGTACTCTCCACCCAATAAGTCTGAAATTTCTACAAGTCTCGCTTTAGTTCTGCCCCCAAAGAACCTTTTCTCATTGGTTTGCTTTGCAATGGGTTTAGGCCTCCTTGATTGTTGAAGTGCATCACAGTCGTCAACGTGGAGTGTTGAGTTGATAGCCATTCAAGCTCAAATGGTGTTACTCACGAGCACTTAAAATGTCCTCGCTGTGATGCACTTAATTTGTCGTTTATATCCCCGATGCAAACCTACCTGCAAAATGTTTGCATCAAACCTCAGAAAACTTTTTTCCAGCACAAAAAGTTGTATGGCTGGGAAGCTAGGGTAAGGACAATGCACGCAGAGCATCAAGTTTGGAATGTAAGCTCTACTTGGAGCGTAAGTGAAACAAGTTATCAATGCAACTAATGATGTAATGATGGGGACATTTCGTGCAATTACACTCTAAATTGCTTGCCTAAGTTAAGCTGAAGTCCTCTAAAATCCTATATTTGAACTAAATCAAATAAAGTGAAGATGAGGACCTGTTACGAGAATGCTACACCTCCGTGCACCAATTTCTTCGATGTCTCTTCTACAGTCTATGCATCCTCCACACAGGAATAAATATAAATTAAATTAGGAGTGATGAGGACACTTGAAAAATCAAATGCGAAAACTAGTGAAGAACTGCAATATTGTAGCAGGATTGCTGCTACTTCTGTAAAAGGTTTTTTAAACCTAAGAATGAAGAAGAAATCAAACAAGAGCTTGGCGTTGGAATGCATCAAGTGCTTGAAAGATGTATTTCAGAGCGACACGAAGTGATCCGCCAATTCAGGCATACGAAAGCCGAGCTACTGAATTCTTTAAAAGTATTCTTGTAAGTATTATGTGGTATAATATGTCAAACAGAGAGTCTCTCACGGCGGAGTGGAAAATTTAGGATCTTTTCATAAAATTGTGCATGAAAAATAGGTTCAATTTCGAAGGTTCTCTCTCAGGATCATCACGCCCTCATGATGTCAAAGAGTTTGGAGCTTAACCACACTTAATTGTCAGACGGATAGCCTTAGTGTTCTAACGAGAAACAACAGAAAATAGATTCAACCTTAATGTTATGCAGCAAGAAAGTGTTTCGATTGTCCAATCCTACATGTTTCAGTAACAAATATGCAGTTTAACCATTTATTAATAGAGAACAGTAGGAAGTAGAATCAGCAGTTCTCTGAACAATAGTGGTTATTTTAAAGATATAAACATGACATAATCTGGAGCTTTTAAGAGACTTCCTTGAAAATTTCGCAGTGGGAACTCACTGAGGAAAAACGCTGACAGCATGTGCTCAATAGCAGTTCCTTGGTCGCTGAATTGATTATTCCCTTGGGAGTCTGCAGCTCTACCATGTCACTACTCCTGTCGCCACTTCTACCTACAGAAATGAAGAAAAAACATAGAGAAATTCACAAGTCAAGAGTGACAACAATTGCGTGCATTAGTAGAAATGAAAGCTTCTGGGGGCTTCGCTCCCTCTTCGAATCAAGACTACAACAACATCGCAAGGAACTCTTCAGTCCAACATCTCAAAGAAATAAAGAAGCTTACAGAACACTTTGTGAATACAATTCTCACGATTTTGCTCCAAATGCGACAACCACCGATTGTTCCAAGAAATCTTTTAACCCACCCCGTTGAACTTCTGCAACTCTTGGCTTGCGTCAAGAGTTAGACTCGACTCTTCCCGCCAGATTCTGATTTGACAAAGTATCTGATACTTAGTCAACACCGTCAGCTTCTTTATAATTTCTTCGACTTAAGAACTGAGTTGTATGCCCCAGCTGTAACCGATCGTGTTCCCAGTTGTGCTCACCGAAGCATAATCACTCAGTAACTCATTGATTAAAATTCACGACGACACAGTTCAAAGCGGAAGATGGCACTAGGAGCGGACTAAAACCCGCATTAATTCTTCCTCCACAAAGAAAAATGCTCGACTTAAACACTGGGAACACCACGCATACTCTCACTCCCTGAAGCAATAATTAAAACCTCTTACAATTCAAAAGAACGCCTTTAAGAACGCGATATGGAATAAATTTAGGCACAACTACTCGTCAAATGGATTCAAACACGAACGGACGCTCAAATCCGCAAATTCTTCGATAACAGCGATCCCTCACTTTCCTCCGCAGACAGAACGAAGCTCGTCAGAATCTCAACTCGTACTACGCCAACAACTGATGTGTTTCATTCCTACCCTATACCGCAGGGCCGTTCAAACTACAACAGAGATTACAACAATTAAGCAGTGGTTCAGCACGTGTGCGCAGTGAAACTACTCGAAAGAACCTCACTAACTCCTGCAACTGCGAGTGCACTTCGAAGGTATGGAGACGATGAGTGAGCCCGAAGGCAGCAGACGATTCCTCAAACGTCGAAACACCTGGTAGACAAAGTTCGTTCACAGAGATAATGTCTCAGATCAATGAAGAACAAACGCTGTCCTCGACATCCTCAAGCCGACACGAGAGAGAGAGAGTTGCTCCAAATTACCACGAAAACTGCTCTCGATCATTAGAAATTACAAAGTTCGACCTCACGCGCATCCGGGGAACTACAATTCCTCACTCCGCTCCGTCAAAGGCAAAACGAGTCCAAGCTCCTGTTGGACGAAACGAACCGGTCCAAGTCATGGTCCACCTCCCTCGCAGAAAGCCAGATTGTGCTACGAATCCTGTTGAGCACAGACTTCCAGTGGAGCCATTGTAGCAGCTATGGCTGACCGAGTGACGAGTTACTAGTGCGATGCGATGCCTTGTCAAGCTTCGGCTCAAGCCTCCAACGGAAATGGGTCCCACAACCAACTGCTTCACGAAGTCAAAGCTAGGAAACTGCCGTGGGATATCACCTCCTCCCTTTATGAAGACCCGCTTCTGCTCCTTTCCAAGGCTCCCTTACTTTTTATTTAAAGCAAAAGGCATCAAATATCATAGCATCTCCTCAACCCTAAATTTAGGTGTGTCCTTCCATTTATGGATGTAAAATATAAATCGCCTTCTATAAGTTCAACACTGATTGTCAACTGGATGAGCGAGTTTATTTAATATGGGGATTTATTTTCATATTAAGGATATTGGCCTTCACTATTAGTACGGGGAGGTTTTGGCTTCTTTCTTTTTGTAGTTGCCTGAACGAATTTTGCGTCCATGGTATCCAATATAATTTGTGTAGAATCTTGTGTAGGATGCCATGTTTACAATCCTCTTTATTTCTAACTTTAAGAACATCTTCATAATTTTGAGTTTTATTCACAAGTACATGTTGTATATGAATCTTGTTGTCAAGTTAGAAATTCATTTTTAGTATTTATTATTACTATTTAAAGAATTGGCTCAATTGTTGATGATTCCTGTGATTTCTTCCAAGCAAAAATTTCAGCTATTTGAAACACCAAACGATAGCAATGCATAGTTTTTAGCACTTATTTTACATTTTCCATAAAGTTCTTCAAGAAGGAAAGTAAAAGATTAAAAAAAACAAACAAACAAACAAACAAACTGCTCAATTTCCTCTATCCATCTAAATTAGAATCAGAACTTCAACAAAAATTAGAAATCAAAATGTTCACACCTTAATATGCACACATGTACATATATGTATGTATCATTAAATCTTCTATAGATGGGTGAAAATTTGTCCAAAAAGACTCAGTGCATTAAAGCTTATCAAAGAAAAAAATATTGTGAGGAAAATCTATAATCCTCAATCAAACCCAATGTTAAGAAGATGATGTTAAACACATAAACATTTAAAAATATCATTCTACATACTTCCTCGTCTTAAAAATTCTTGGAAATAACAACAACAAAAACAAAAACATCATCAATATTCTCAATACATGTTGCTTTTCAAATGACAGGAAATTGAGCCTTTGTTCACAACAATTCACCATGTGGAAAATGGGTGTAAGAATGTGTTTAACATCAAAAGGGCAAAATCACTATTAAAGAAGCAAATAATATTCTTTCTTTCTTGGCAAGCTTCAAACATGGGCAGGAGCTAAACTCCCATACACCCAACAGAAGCTTCCATAGTCAGAACCTCAAGGGAAATTATGGTGAACTTGAAGAGGCAGACCACAAGGGATACCAGATTCTGCTCAAGCAGAATGAGTCCTCACCCACCTGAAGAATCCCACAAACCCTAATCTGTCCCAATTATGCACTTGTAGGTGTGCCAACCTTCACTGTATTGTCTGTTTCATACATAAGTTAAGCCTCTCCAGTGTATTCTCCAGCATGTTCCCCTCCCTGGTTCCCAAAGGTTCCCCCAGGATCATGAGCTGTGGATAACTCACACATGTGTCATTAGAACCTTAAATAGTGCATACACGAAATTGTCAATCACAAGTGGAGGTTTGTCTTCAAACCACACACACACAGAGAGAGAGAGAGCCTCTTGGTGGGGCTTTTAATAGCCACGTGAACCAGAGTCTTGCTTATTCAAAAGAGAGCACAATGTAAAAGTTATTAAGAATAATAATGTGTGGGCTCAAGGGATCACTGTTCATATCTGTGAAGCATCATAAAGACGGCGTTGTGAACAGTGACTTGCGGTCAATGGGTTGATTTTACAAAATGTTTCTGTCAGAAGTTTGGTGGGTTTTTTTACGCTTGGAATTAATCTAGGATATTTTATTTTATTTTATTGTGCTTTTACACACATGGAGTGAATCCGCCATCTTAGATTAAGGATATTTGGACACATGAGCTGCCCATATCTTAACAATCTAATTTGATGTTATTAAAGGTTAAAGTTTTTCTTTTTTCTTTTTCTTTTTTTTTCCGCTGTCAAAGAAGTTGACGCCAGTCCCAATATCATTTACACAAGGAGTCAACTTAATGCTTTTAAAAGGCATACTTTAATGTATTTTTAAAGAATATTTTAATAAATGTATTAGAAGAAAAGTTTGACACGCCTCAAAGGTAGAAAAGTTATGTGGCATATATTTCTCCACTTTGATTCTGAAAATTTGGGTCATCCAGAAGACTTGAACAAGCAACCCTTATCTTTTTGGTTCAAACCCTCTAACTGGCTTCAAATCTGCCAGCACGTTTAACTTATACGAAATAAATAGTACGAAATAAATATTAACTGAATACTTACTTTCATTGTTGTGCAAAAGTGTTGTGCCAGTTGCTTTGGTAAAGTGAGCCTGGAGCAATTCATGCGTAGGAACACATTTCAGAGATCCCAATAGATTGAAATAGTGGTTCTTTCTGTTGAGAATGTTTAGAAAGACACAAGTGTAATAGTAAGTCATACACACATACAAGAGTAGTAGTAAGTCATACACACAAGAGGGTTTCTAAGGAGAGAGAGCTTCACACATAAAAATCTGTTCATCTGGTTGTGTCTCGTATACAAGAAGAGAAAAGAAGAGAGGATAAACAATACTTCTCCACTAGACTCTAAATACTGTAGCTACAGTATTTGCTATAGTCTACATTAACTGTTATAGAGAGCGCCGGCTACATTTAATGATCTCAACACTCCTCCTCGCTCATCATAATATTTACATAATATAAAATTTGTATAGAACTATGATCTATATTTTTTTGTGATCTTACAAGATCAACAATTTTTGCCTCATTAAAACCTTATTTAGGATATCCTTATTTTATTTAAGGACAAAATCATAGATGAAGGAAAAAGAGTACAACATCATTTTCTTTAATTATTTAAAGAGCTCATTAACTTTCTTATTCAAGAAGAGCAAGTCGTCGCATACCAATGCTATAAATAAGTCGACAATGGTTGCTTAATGGGAGAGCTTTGGTGAAGAGATCAGCAAGGTTATTTGTAGATTCAATTTTCTTAATTATAAGTGCTTGATTAGTAATCAAGTCATGGGTATAACTAAAATACTTTGGATCAATATGCTTTGTCATATTGCCTTTAATGAAACCAACTTGCATCTGTGCAATACAAGCACTATTATCTTCATGCAAGATAATTGGAGAATCATCATATGAAAATCCATAGGTTGTTTGAATGAATTTATCAATTGATCGCAACCAAATACATTCTCGAGATGCTTCATGTAAGGTAATAATTTCTACATGGTTGGATGTAGTTGCAATTATTATTTGTTTCACTGATTTCCATGATATTGCAGCTCCATGTCTTAAGAATACATATCACGTTTGAGATTTAGTTGTTGCAATATCAAATTTATATCCTGCATCATAATATTCAACCAATTTTGGATCTGCGGATTGTATGTAGTATAATCTCAAGTCTTCAGTATCTTTTAAATAATCTAATAAATGTTTGATGCTATTCCAATGTCGTAGTGTTGGACGTGCACTATGTCTTGTAAGAACACTAATTGCAAATGCAATATCTAATCGTGTAGATGTAGCTAAATATATAAGTGCTCCAACTGCTGCAAGGTATGGATATTGGTCTCCCAATATTTCTTCTTCCTCCTCACATGGACGGTATAGATCATGACCATCACGACCATGTCCAACCATTGGTGTGGACAATGGATAAGCATCAATCATATTAAATCTTTGTAAGATTTGTCTAATATACGTTAGTTGGTAGAGAAAAATGCTACCATCTGTTAAATGCATAATCTGAAGACCAATGCAAAAAGTTGTTTTTCCTAGCATTTTCATCTCAAATTCACGTATAAGTAGGTTTGTAGTTGTAACACATGCAGATGTAATGCCCACTAGGTTAAGATCATCAACATATACAACGATGATCACAAAACTAATTTTATCTCGTTTGATAAACAAACAAGGGATTAATGGATCACTTATAAAATTATTTGTAATTAAATAATCTCAAAGACGTTGATAGCACATGCATCCGGATTATTTTAAACTATACAAGGCCTTACATAATTTAATATCATGATATTTTCCTAGTGCGGGTCGATTTGAAGTTCCTGTTTCTAAGCCAGGTAGAACTTTCATATAAATATTTGCATCAAGAGAACCATATAGATATGCAGTTATTACATCCATGAGATGCATCTGAAAGGTGGTATGAACTATCATTCCAATAATATATCAAAATATAATTGAATCCATGACTGGAGAATATGTGGATTCATAATCAATGCCAAATCGTTGAATAAATCCTTGAGCAATAAGACGAGCTTTATAGCGGATTATTTGGCCTTAAACATCTTGCTTGCATATTAATATCATTTTATATCCTACAGGGCGAGATGTAAGAGTGTCTACAATTGGACCAAAGACTTTCCTCTTATGCAAAGAAGCATACTCCTCCTCAATAACAGTTTTTTATTTTGACCAATCTAAGCGACGCATCGCCTCTTCGATGGTTTGAGGTTCAGGATTGTCTTTCTTGAGAAATAATACTAGGATTAGTCAATTTTATAGCTTTCTTCTTATGTGGTTGCTTATCTGATCCATGAATTCTTTTAGTTGTTGTTGTTATAACATGAGATATTGTAGTCAATGGCACTGCAATCTGAGCAAGTGCATTCTGAGCCTCATTAATAGGCACTCTTGTAATTTTAGATGCATCATTGAAGCCATTAGGTGTTTCATTTGCGATCCGTTTTAGATGTAAAATCTTAGCAACTTCAGTTTCTGCCAAAGATGTCCCAGGATCGGGATTCATTGTAAAGGTTTCCGGTGCTTCAAATATAAGTACTTTATTTCTTTATTGATTGGAAACTCCTCCTTAAAGAGATGGAAATACATTTTCTTCAAAACGAAAATTTTGCAAATGTGGTCATGATAATATGCCAGTTGATGGATCAACAATACGAATAAT